AGAATGAGTAGTCGTAGAATTTTAGCCTAGAGTGTTTTTATGTCACTAGTTGCTTGATGAACTGAACCTGGTGAAATATCCTTGTCAACTGCCGTGACTTTCAATAAATTTTGTGCATCTTACGGTTCGAACTGGGCTGAGACCAAAACAGAGAAGTTGTAGCCCTGTTTCTAAGCTTTGAAACGAGACCAGAACCGTAGTAATCCGAGGTGTATAGCATAAGTTATGGCCGTTTTAGTGTGACTGGTGCAGAATGACTGTTTTGAGGAAATCTTGTAGTTGGCATTTCATTAGTGCATTAGGGAGCATGAGATAGCTCTACACCTTTGTTTATACACTTGAGAAGTAGCTTGAGATTTAGTATAGAATGTGAGTATAAGTTCTTTAAGAGTTAAGAGAATAGAGTAGGTTGTGCGATGGGGAACCCGTGAGTAATGGGTAGAGTATTCCCGCATGTACGCCGCATTGAGAGAGCGGCATGAGTATGAGATAGAGAAGTGGTGTAGCCCGTGAGAGTGCATGCGGATGAGGGCTATACCCCAGTACCCGAGAGAGAGATTATACACTCACATGGCCAAGGGTTCCGAATCCATGCATAACCGAGTCCGATCGGCTAGAATGAGTAGAGGTCACGTAGAGTGGGAGCGAGTCTCGGCCGTGCCCCCAGTAAGATGGGGTCGTGACTTACTAAAGAGAGGTAATAGAAAAGAGTTCTAAGAGAAAGAGAAATAGAGAGAAGTACCAAAGAGAAATTGAATGAGAAGTTGTAAGGAAAGAATTAGAGAGAGAGAGGGTTACAGGGATAGATGAGTAGAGGATTTACTTACTGAGCATTATTTTAGTGCTCACCCCGTTGTTTTCCTATGTTTTGCAGGATCCAGGTGAGGACGCAGTCGGATAGACGTCAACACGCGAGGGGAAGCGGTTACACTGTCCACCATATTTTAATACCTTTTGTACACATTATAAGTTTGTGTAAAAATGTATATGTTTGTAAAGAATATATATATATATTTAATAAAAAGAAAATTTTGGGTCCAATTTCTTTATATTATTTTATATGTAATTCATTATGAGTATGTGAGTAGAAAGTGGCTATTATAGATAACAGATTTTATTAACAGATCTTAACAACGAGTGGGTAATTGTTGAACAGATATTAATGGTTAGTGGGTAATTAGTTAGAGTAGGAGCCCTATAACCAATCAATTATTATACAATTAACTCTTTGTAATAATGTTTAATTATTTATCAATAAAATGCATATTCTTCTATATCATATAAATCAAAATTGTGTGTATTGATATATGTCCTTAGGACGGTAGAATCGTGACGAGGGTATCAAGTGTTTCAAATCTTGATAGTGAGAACCTTATGATCACATATGGTGGCCATTCTAGAAATGTCTATAGTCCTAGTATTATTCTGACCAAGGATACAGATAATATAGTAAGGTTATCATAGTATTGAACGACCTTGTCGAAAGATAGTGACTGATCTCACTTGTCAAGGTTGTTTGCTGACAACCTGGTGCAATGCATGGGTGCTTGTTGTAGGCAAGTTCATTGGACAGACCCACCAAAGGATCCATATGGATGGTGACGTAGTGTCTATAAAATAAATCCTCTAACGAATGGTGTTGCATGTGATTCTTAAACTTGAGATCACTGGAGCGTCTTGTGCACCGATTGGTATAGTTTGACACTAGCCCAATGTAATTCTATTCAGAACTATCAGAACGGTAGCGATTGGCTACATCGAAGAGTGTATCAAGACTATGGTGGATCGACAAAAGATTCATCGCTCCCGCGTACGGGAGAAGTTATCTCACTGTGCAATTTAGTAAATGGCAATGACACTAAATCTGTGGCCACAGTGGGATTGAGTTGTTGCTCAATCCAATTTATTATTCCGGTCATTGGTCCAGTAACTGAATACAAAGATATCGAGGATATCTGAGGTTGACACTATTTATGTACCTCAGCCTTATGGGATAACAAATGAAGAAAGGATTTGATTGCACAGTAACCATATCGTTGATAGGTATCTACTTCGCTAAATCCGAATCAATTGGGTGACCATGATGTTTTGCTAGGGACCAATCGTGATCTGTGTGTAGTGAAACGATTAATTGACGTTAATCGCAATATTGCTCACTGCCGATATGATAAAAAGCCTACGAGTCATACACTTAGAAGATAATTTAAGAGTCAGTTTGTGGAAGAGGTATTTTCATCTTTTAAGAGGAAAGAGTATTTTGGTAATCTCATAGTGCAATTAAATTTGTTAAGGTTATTGCCTGTATTTAATTTTAATACTAAAATTAAAATTAAAATTAGTAAGATTATATTTAAATATATATGCGCATATATTTAAGTGGATTATTGTTATTATTTAATGTTAATACATTTTAATATATTAATTGATTTTAATAATTATTATTATTATTTAAAATTAAATAACCATAAAAGGGGTGTTTGGTTACAAGGATGGACTAACGTGAGAATCCATGGCTATTCCTAATAGGATTACGGTTTTAATTAAGTGACACTATATAAGTGAAACTTAAATTAAAACAAAATAATTCATTCATTCATTGAATTAAAAACAAAACCTTAGCCACCCTCATTCTCTTTCTCAAGTTTTTGCCTTGAGTGAATCAAAGAATTTTATTCTTTGATTTTACTTGATTCTTGAAGCCTTCAACTTGTTCTAGCAAAACAATTGTCGGTTCTCCAAATTGTCTTTGTATAGACAACGTAATCAAATCAAAGATATTTGAAGGAGCCTCCAAACGTACGTAAGTATTCTAATCCTTGAATGAGTTCATTTTATATAGATTTTGCTTACAAACATGTAAACGGTTATAATCTATACCCGGATCTTGGCAAAAGGTAATTAACTTACCGATTGAATTCTTAGTTTTGTTTGATGACAAAAAGGGGGAGAAAAGTTGAATTGAGTATGTTTGTTTATGTTGCTTAAGCAAAGAAGAAGTTGAAAGTTGAATTTTTAAAGTTGTGTGGATTTTCAAAGTTGTGTGAATTTTTGAAGTGTTGTGCAATGATTATTGGTATATGCTTGTTGTGAGGGGGAACTTTTGCTCAACTTGTTTGGTTTGGCATTGGTTAAGGGAAATGTTTATTTTGAGGGGGAGTTTATGCTTTTTGTTTTAAAATCATTATGTGGTGCTTATATTATGTTCGCTACCTCGAATAGATGACTTGTTTGATTAGTTGAAGGGAGCAGCGGTGTTCTCCAAGATTGATTTGAGGTCAGGGTACCATCAGGTAAGAGTGGCTGAACAGGATGTAGCTAAGACTGCTTTTCGTACAAGGTATGGGCACTATGAGTTTGTAGTGATGCCGTTTGGTTTGACTAATGCCCCAGCTGTTTTTATGGACTTGATGAACCGGGTATTCCATGATTATTTGGATCAATTCATAGTGGTTTTCATAGATGATATCCTGGTATATTCTAAGTCGAGAGAAGAGCATGAGGAACATTTGAGAATAGTGCTGCAACGGTTGAGAGAAAAACAGTTGTATGTTAAATTTTCGAAGTGTGAGTTTTGGCTCGATCAAGTGATATTTTTGGGCCATACTGTGTCGAAGAAAGGGATTTCAGTAGATCCGAGCAAGATTTTTTTTAACAAAATGAAATATTAGCTTCAACATTAATATATTGTTTCCATAAAATTAAAGTTGAAAAATTGGTCAAAAGAGTTGAAATATTGATTTAGAAAGCATGTGTCTGTTAGAGTTCGATTTAAATTTTGATTTACAGTTAATCTGTTTGTCTATAGAGTTTTTCAATACAATATATGATTATTACAAGGGATAAGGCTCTTTATGTTCCTCTTTAATTAGGTGTGTCCTTTATTTGAATCAATAAATTTCCCTCTTTAAATTTGTTTTTTTCAGAGTTATATTATGTATTTTTATTGGATGAAGTTAGAGATTCACGTAAAACAACCCAATTTCATACACGAACTTCCATTTGATGATTAATGAAATACTCCCATATAAGCATTGAAAAAGCCCAATTGGCATCATTTAGAGTCAAAGAATTCATGCTTCTAATTTATTTAATTGAATTCTTTTTTACATAATTTTTTTTTAATTATTTTGTTAAAGGACATAAGTTAGAATAAAATGAATATCGCGATCAATTAAGTTATGAATATGATTTTGTGCCGTCGAGGTTCCTTGAAAAAAATAAAATTTTTAAGTTATATATAATTAACAAACTAGAAAATGAATATCGCGAGACCTATAAAATTAGATTGATTAATAAACTAGATAGATTTCTATTCTCTGCCAAAATTGTTGCCTTTTAAACCTCATTATATATGTAATCAACAAACTAAAGAGGGTGTATACATCAATCTATTAAAAATTGGAAAAGTATTATATCACTATATTAACATTACACAACTCATTCATATTGACTTTCCATGATATATAGTTTTATATAAACTATTAATTAACAAAAAAATTCTCATAACCTATGAGATTACATAAGTAAAAATTAAGAATTTTGATAACATTAAATAAATTTGAGAATATCATACATCTAAATTTGTAAAGTTGTAATTTTTTAAATTATATTTTTATAAATATTTAAGAGAAGACAAACAATATTTTGTCAAAAATACTATTACGATGAAACCACTTAATTCTAAATGGAATTTGTTTTGCAATTTGTTACAACCATGAGGAGAAAATAAACAAATCCAAAACTAACGTAACAAACACTTGATATAAATAGTTACTTTAGCTTATAAATACTCCACTGCCATTTCATTCTTCATATCCTCATACAAAAATCATTGATCAAGAATGGAGCATAAAATGAGACAATTAACCATTATTCTGGAAACTTTTTTAACAATTCTAATTGCCTCTCGGTTCATCTCAACTGTGGTTTGCCAAAGCAATGTTATCCATGCAAATGCATCAAACCTAAATCAATGGATAGACCACACCGTCCAAGAATACATGGAAAAAAAGGCTGAGGTAATGGATCTAGGTAATGAGAAAAACTCCCAGTTGGATGATGCTTTAGCTATGGCGGAAAAGAATTTGAAGGTGATAACTGTTAATAAAGTCGGTAGTGGAGATTTTAAGTCACTAACTGATGCAGTGAATAGCATTCCGATAGGAAATGCGAATAGGGTAGTAATTAAGATTGGTGGAGGAGAATATCACGAAAAGATCACAATTGATAGGTCCAAGCAGTTTGTAACTTTCTATGGAGACCCAAAGAACATGCCAAGGATTGCATTTGCTGGGACGGCGTTAAAATATGGTACATTTAATAGCTCTACTGTGATTGTGGAGAGTGATTACTTTATGGCAGTTAATGTTATATTTGTGGTAAGTACTTTTTTTTTTTTCTCGCACTATTTTGTACTGTCAATAGATGCCATGATACGTGGATTCCTTCAACATTATAACTTTGCTTGCACTTTCTGTTTTCTCTCTATTATATGGTAAAGTTTAATTTAAGTAAAGTTCGTTGAAAATTGAGCACCTATCCGAGGACGTAGGTAACAATATTAAACCTGTTAATTCTTAGTATTATTTATTTTTGCATTTATCATAACCATTTATTTATACTCTAATAGAGTTATAATTATATTTTAATAGCTAGTGTTAGAGTTTGTGTTTCCGCTGCACAACAAAATTTATATGTATCTTTATACCATAGTTACATGAATGCCATACAAATATAAATTGATGTTGAAAAAATATATTAGATGATTTTAATGTTGGTTTTTCTTTTCTTTTTTATTTTAGAATTCAGCTCCATTGCCAAATAGTAGAAGTGATGATTCACAAGCAGTGGCGTTAAGAATATCAGGGGATAAGGCAACATTTTACAATTGCAAGTTTATAGGCTTTCAAGACACCTTATGTGACGACAAGGGCCGACATTTTTTCAAGGATTGTCATGTAGAAGGCACTGTTGATTTCATTTTTGGAAATGGTCAATCTGTCTACATGGTAATTTCACATAACTCAGTGATTACTACAACAGTAATTATGTTAACCTATCTATAATTAAACTTAAACTAAGAAACAAAATTGAAGCTGGGAGTTTTTTTTATTTTTTTTTTAATAGCTAGTATTTGTTAAACTATAAATTCATATTAATGTATTACTAATTATATTTATAAATGAGATTGAATCCTTAATTCATGTGTTAGCATGTATGGAAGCTAACAATTGGGATATTGATGCAGACCACCACTTTACAGTCAGTTGCTAAGGGCTTAGGAGTAATTACAGCACAGGGTAGAGACAAACCTACAGAGGATAGTGGATTCACATTTGTTCATTGTAACATAACTGGTACTGGTGACATTTACCTTGGTCGTGCATGGAAAGAGAGTCCTAGGGTAATCTTTGCTTATACATATATGGGCGCTCTTATCAACAGTGAAGGATGGTCCAATCGCATGTATGGGGAAAGTGGTGATCACAAGTACGCAACTTTTTATAATTCTTTCACTTAATCAATAATGATTTTGATTTTTAACAATATATCTAACAATAAACTTTATGTTTTGTCTTAAAAATTTGTAGATCTATGTTTTATGGAGAGTATAAGTGCATGGGACCAGGAGCCAGTTCTTCTGGTAGAGCCAAATTTGCTAGGATACTCACAGATGCAGAAGCTCAACCTTTTTTGAGCACGACTTACCTTGATGGAAATAAATGGATTCTCCCACCTCCCAATGTGTGAACGTATTTGTTAGTAATATAACGGAGACAAGGTTGGGGCAAATGAAATGTCTACTATAAATGGGTGGTATCAGAAAATATGTTTGTACTATTAGATGAAAATTAACAGTTATTGATAAAGCTACTTTATTATTTCATTCAACAGTTTTTAAGTTTTGATATGATGTTATAACAAGAGGATTGACAGATCATGTATTCCAATATATAAGTGGTAATATGTGTTTTATGATACTGTTATAGAAAATTATATTTTGTCATATTAGAAAGTGTTGTGTTTGATCAATTTTTCTTATTGGTTAGTGTCTTCTTCATGTTCCTATATGATGGATTAATTTGCTCATATGCTTCAAATAATAAATTGTGGCTAGCCATCTCATTGTATTTCATTTATTACCATAAGAATAATAGATTGGCCATCAACATCTCATAGAAATTTGTAACGATGTTACACATTTTAAGAGATTTTTTAGAATTGTTATCTTAGGCGGTGTCATCCTATTTTGCACTAGCTACCAAATCATTTATTAAATTGTCACTTCATTTGGATGATGTTATTATCACATAAGATAAACAAAAAAAATACAAAAAATAAATAAATAAGGGTTTGAAAACATTAGTTTTGTTGAGTTTTTTAGATGTGGGTAAATTTATATGATTTTATGAAAAGAAATCATGTATTAGGATGTATCGCTCGCATGTTATATTGATAAAAATAGTAAAAATCAAAATCTGTGATATCTTGTGGAACGGGCTGAAAATCCTTCACCTTCTGCATCATAGGCAAAGAAATTCTTGAGGAAACTCTAGAAAAAATCTTGACACTGGCGCTAGAAAAGTTTAGGTGGTTGTGTTTTGGTTTAAAAAATAAGTTTAAGAATGAAAATACTAAGTTTAATGTCATACTATCAGAATTCAAGAAAGCAACGGAGAAGTCTGCCTGACAAGGAGGCCCAAATATGTATATATATACAAAGCCAAATGCCTCTCTACGTTGATTGACATGTGACATATCTTGAAACTTATTTTCGGACTCTAGAATTGTTTCATCTTGATACATTGGATTGACAACTAGGATTTGTGGTTTAATGAGCCCAATCAATTTGTTTTATTTTGACACGTCTTGACATGTTGGGTTTGTATTTATTGTTCCATCTATAATTAATAATTAGTAAAAAAAAATTAAATCTATATTAATAATTAAGAATAATAATAATACAGGTGCATTGCATTGGCATTCCAATGCTGTAACTATTTTGATGCGTTGGATGTGCATTAATAACAAGTATACAGGTGCATTGGATTGCTATTAGTAATTGTGGTTTTATGACATCTGTCTAGGATTGCTATTAATATTTGTATAGGTGCATTGTATTGACATTGGAAACCTTTCTTCATATTCAATTCGTATTTAATTGCATTAGTATTTGAAAGGTCTAAATAAAAGGTTATAAAAGAGGCGTATGTTCACATGTGTATCATCGCAATTTGTTAGTTGGTGTCAACAATACGTTTGGTCTTTTGTTAATTGTTTATAGGTCATTTTAGTTTGTGTCAATAATATATTTGTTCTTCATGATTTTGATAATCGATGATTTATTTATGTTTTTGTTGTTGTTTACAGGTCAAAGATTCATGAATTGACATGGAATAAAGGTAGGATGTCAGATTGACACTGTCAAATGAGTTGTTATTTTGATTTGTTCTTCTGAACTGTAAGTATATCTTCTAACTATTTTAATGCGAAACTATAAATATATCTCCTAACTATTTTAACGGTATTGTTTGATTGAATGATTGTTTTTGTTCGGTCAATCTATTTGAATGATTAATTGTGTTAGTCTTGATGAATGGTAAGTGTGTTCCTTAACAATTTTAATATGAAGATTAATTAACTTTTGTTGATTTTGTTTTCAGGTACTAGTTCTTATACGAATGAATGATTGTTCCTTAACAAACTTAACATGAAAATTGATTAAATTTTATTATGTTTGTTTTCAAGGAAATGTTCATGTACTTTACTAAGATCAAATCGAGGATGATCCTACTGTCTACCGAACTGTAAGTATGTGTCATATGGGCTGCAGAATTATTCCATCTTGACACATTGGATTGACAACTAGGATTTGTGGTTTAATGCGCCCAATCAAATTGCTCCATCTTGACACATTATGCTTAGCCATTGAGTTTATTACAATCATGCTATCTAAGAATGGGATTTGTTCATTTACGATTTCTTGGTGTTGTTTTCTACAAGTCAAAGATGTAATATGAAAATAAATTCATATCTGTTGTTGTTGTTTTTAGGATAAAAGAGCATGTATTGATACAACGGTAAGCATATTTCATAACATTTTGTGTTTATTATGCCTTTGGTAAAGTCATTGATTCGATATGTCTCTCTTGTCGATCGATCATCATAAAATATGTATTCGTTGATTTTGTTGATTTCGTTTTCAGGTTATAGGAAAAAAGTTAATGTGCTCATACAATGGTAAGCATATTCCGCACCAACTTGTGTTTATTATGTCTTTGGTAAAGTCATTGATTTAGTATGTTTGTACTGTCAATCAATCAATGTGAATTATATATTCATTGATGTTTGTTGATTTCATTTTCAGGTTACAATTTCAGCCGAACAATGAGTATTTGTTGTCGGCATGTTCATATGAGGGGCAATTAGTTTTTCTCTGTATTGCTGACGTTGAGTAACATTAAATGTTAATGGATTGTATTTTGTTCGAAGATTAAGCAATGTTTTTTCGACCATACTATCTGTAAGTTATTTTGTCAACTTATGATTCTAGTGGTGTAACACTAGTCATGGTATGAACACTTTACTTTGAATTTTGCACAATCATTCTTGTTTAAATTTCCAGTGTGACGACCTTGTGTTAAAAGTGACCACCTTCTTTATATTGTTTATCTGCTATATTGGGTGAGTACCTCTGAGTCAGAGTAGTGATCACAACGTATATGACATATTTATTTGGTAACACGTGTTACGCTTCTAGAATGCATGAGCTTTTTTATTCTCTTATGAGATATTTGTGTGGTCCATAACACTAGTCAAATTTATATTCAATGTGCTGGAAAGTTTTATTCTCTTTGATAGGTGACATCTTGATATTTGAATAAACTTTTATAAAGGTGAATTCAATAGAGTTATTCCTTGCCACATGTCCCCTTACATTGGAGCCCAAGTTTTCTATATATTTGTCTCCTTCAATGCAATTCTTTTCAAGCCTGATTATTCCTCTGATATTACTTTGAAAATTCCTTAAGGTTTCTTTTGTTTTGAATCAGGTTTCATATGCCTTAGGTAGGCTTACAAATACCTTTGATAAACTTTGTTTATTTGTTCATGGCTGGGACGTGGGTTTCCATTAGTAATGCTTGATGGGATTTCAACCTTTTAGAGCTGAAGTGCGTCTTCAGTGTTGATCCTTGAGAGGAGCTCAAGGCTGACCAGGTGGTCTTGTGAATGTGGAGCTTGCTGTGGTAGTTCGAAGTTTGACCAAAGGGTGGAGTTTGAAGCGTTGCAAAATAGGGAGTTTTCCTGTAATTGATGTTTAACTTTGGTTTTGTAATTGAACTATAAATGTTTACCATAGTGGATTGACTTCATCTGAACAAGGTCCCATGGATGTAGGCATGTTGCTGAACCATGTAAAAATCTGGTGTTGTTTTTCTTTGGTTTATTTTTATTGCTTTATGTTTATAATCAAAGAATTCTTAAAATCAACATAGCAACCCATTCTGCTTAGGTTTGATTCACTTGGTAAAGGAATTAAATCTTTCACTATCTATTTGTTCCAGCTGATATGTAAATATTTGTCTTGAGATTGAGCCACATGAAACATTGATGGATTGTTTCATGTTAAAAAAGTTCGTATGAATATTGATTTTGCTAAATCTGTTTTCAGGTGACAAGATTGGCCCTCAACTATTATCAAATCGTACTGCTTGGTGAATTGCTATGTAATAGATACTTTCTACTCACACACTCATGTAATATACATAATGAAATACATATAAAATAGTATAAAGAGTTGGGTCCAAATTTTTCATTTTATTAAACATATACATTCTTTACATAAAATTTGTATCATGTACAAAAGTTATCAAAAACATGGTGGACAGTGTAACCACTTCCCCTTGCGTGCCGATGTCCATCCGACTGTGTCCTCACCTAGATCCTACAAAACATAGGAAACAACGGGGTGAGTACTAAAACAATGCTCAGTAAGTAAATCCTCTACTCATCTGACCCAGTAACTCTCTCTCTAATTCTTTCCTTACAAATTCTCATTTACTCTCTCTTTTGTACTTTTCTCTATTTTCTCTTTCTTAGAACTCTGTTCTATTAACTCTCTTTAATAAGTCATGACCCCATCTTGCCGGGGGCACGGCCAGGACTCACTCCCGCTCTCTGTGACTTCTACTCATTCTCAGTCGATCGGACTCGGTTATGCATGGATTCGGAACCCTTGGCCATGTGAGTGTATAATCTCTCTCTTGGGTATAGCCCTCATCCGCATGCACTCTCACAGGCTACACCACTTCTCTCTCTTATACTCATGCCGCTCTCTCAATGCGGCATACATGTGGGAATACTCTACCCATTACTCACAGGTTCCCCATCGCACAACCTACTCTATTCTCTTTTCTCTTTTCTTTTAGAGAAGCTCACACTCAAAATACTCTACTCTTTTTCTACTCTTTCTCTAATGCATAATTAATGCATATGGATGATTCATGCTCATTAATGCACTCATGAAATGCAATTATGCCATGTAGCAATAATTAAGGTCCTTTACTCTTACTCATGCCTTTCTCAAGCATTTCATCATACAACTCATATGCATATAAAACTCTACTTTAACTATAACTATTCTCCTTTCTTTAATCATCCAAAAATGGGAGAAAACTCCCTCATACTCTTTAGATTCCTGTCAAATAAACTCACTCCCATAAGGTTTGCTCAAAACTCTCTCCAACTTC